CTCGCTCCACAGAGCAGAGTCCATACTGAGGCGCTGATTGTCACACAGCTGTCCAAGAAGTTCCTCGTCACTTATGAATCCAGATGATCCATCAAAGTGTTCACAAAAGCCTGTCGCTGAGCCATATCCTGAGACTGGATGACTCGACTCCACTCCACAACCTTCCACCCTACTTCCACGAGATCAATTTTAATATTATCACCCTATCTAAGTCCAGGTCTCTTCCTTTCAGCATTTCCAACCAAGATTGTATACGAATTTCTCACTTGTGAGATTTCAGGTCCTCACGGCGACGAGCATGAAGATGGCTCACTCTTCACAATCAGCGACAGGGCAATGCGGAAAAGGGGCCTGCGTCAATATCAATGACCCAAGCGAAATTCGAACTCGTGACTCCTGTTACCGAAAGGCCTAATGTCGGCGAATAAATAACACACATTTAATTCGGATACAAAAAGATCAAAATAAGTTATATAAGTTTACTAATTACACCCCTTTCAGTTGCTTTACAGATACGCCCGAAGTTACTTTAAGAAATCATCCTCTGTTTCTGTAGACATGACTTCTATGTACAATGATTAAGTTTAGTTTAAATATTTCATCCATTCTCTTATAAACACATCTCGAACGAAAGTAAAATGAATGGAATGGCTGGACTACACCACATTTTTGACATCCCAGAATTCCACCCGTTACGGACGCACATTTGTTCCTTAAACTGGCCAGAAAACAAAAGTGCTGTAAATATGTGAGCTATGAGAGTTTTACGGCGGTGAAGACGGCGATGCGACGCCGACGCTTCGGAGGAGCAAGCTCCTCCGAAACACTGCGACGACCTAAGAGTTCACACCAATCAATACTAATTTAACAAATTTGAGTTGGTGTCCTGACAAACAGCATTTACATACTTGCTGGTAAGCTGAGTTCGTTTCTAAGAAAACCTCGGCTCTGAACGAAACGGAAAACATTTCATAACATTCCACGTTCGACAGATCGTTTAGAAATTACCGTTTTCAATGTCAGATCATTGCATTGTCCCTCCATCTGTTCACATCCAGTTCTCGTCAATTAGCAATTAGTCACTCGTGAAACAGAACGGGGCCATTGCTGCATTATGCTGTTTCCTTGCCTTGCAAACCACGAGGTAAGAACCGGTTGTGCGGCCGCCGTCAGACGTCAGCCGAGGCAGAGGGGAAGGGAGAGCATCAAAGGCGCCCGCGGTGCAAAACGTCTGTTTGTCTGCGGCTTGTTTTTGTGGGCAGCCGAAGCCATGGCGAGATGTCTCGCTACCTGCTCCCAGCACCGTATTTTATTCAGACCCTCCACAAGACATAGAGGACGCTCAGCAATTCTCAGTTTCATCGACGTTACCATTGCTTTTGGTCGCAAAACGTGAAAGGAGGCCTTGATGGGATGATAATATTAAAAGATATTTTAGAGAAATCGGGTGGGAATGAGTAGATCCAATGAGAGGCTACTGTGAGCACGGTACCGCAGTAAACTTTCGAGTTCCACAATGGTGGAGACTATTAGTTTCTCAAGAAGTTAGTTTAACTAACAGATGGCTGGACAATCCTCTTCTGGGAAGAAATGCTGTTATATTCCCTTGCTGAATCACCTACTAATGGGTACTGGGGTCCTTTCCTCAGCGGTGAAGTGGCCGGAGCACCTCCACTTCCCCCAAACGCCTACAACTGAATATGAGGGACAACTCTGCCTCTACCATTGTACAAATGGATATGTTTACCAGGTGTAAAGCAGACTACTCCCATGAAGACATATATGTGAAAAAATATTTAACAAAATACAGCGACAATTTCAGATTCTGTGCCATGTGGTATCTGTAGTGCACTGTCAGCTCTGCAACAACAGATTTTATCTGCAATAAAAATCAATGTCGTGTGAAGAATCAAAGAGGACAAATCTGAAAAACATGTGTCTACTGTTCAATTCCACTCTCCTTAAAGTCTTCAGGAGGGCAGGAACTGTCCTTTTAAGAAACGTATGAGGTTAGAATCTGATTCACAGAAAGCAATGCAGGGAGACAGCTTACCCTGATCAGCTGCCCACCTTGTCTCACCACTCCCCCACGTCTCATTTCAGGATCTTAGTCTCCCTTTTATACCTGAGTGATCTATGTAGTTCTGTAAACTGTCACAATCAATTTGAACTGACAGGTTATGGACCTCTGCCCTTCAATGTTAGGTACAGCTCAAAATCTGTGATATGTTATGACATAACAATACAGCATTTGAATGTGCTCTTATGAAGAAAGAACAGCATATTTGTTTGTTCCGTTCAGATTGAAACGGTTTGTTATAGTACATATCCATGCCAAACTGCACCAACTATATGTAGGGACCAAACAAAAAATTAAATCACATAACATACAGGTAATTATTAGCTTTCTAGCATTTTGCAACAAATTAATTATAAAGGTGGCTGTCTTCTGGTTTTCTGCACTATGCAGCCCAGCAGAAGTTTTACCAACATTTCTGAGGTGCTTACCACCTCCATCATCAGGGCTCTGAAACACTAGTAAACTTCTACCATACTACATGGCACAGTAACCTAGAAGACAGCCATCTTCAAACTCAACTGTGAGAACCAGAAATCATACAAGTTCATTATGTTTTCATTCAACTATCTAAAGTATTTCAAAATATTATTTTCCAAACTAATTCTTCTACAAAAAGCTATGTTTGGTCAATGCCAGAATAGTACATTAATAGGCCACTACCGCTTCATTCTATACCCATTCCAATTGGTCATTCACATCATAAGATATAAACAATACTAAAAATTTGTAATGCAACTCATAATTGGTAAAGAGAAGGTGAAGTTGTTCCTGTGTCTATGCATTCTGCCAGTAAAGTATGCAGAAGTCAAGGTAATGTTCCTCTCATTCCAGATCTTGGCATTGGACAGACAACATCATCATGCTCCAGTCACATAAAACTTCCTAAGCAATCCCAGTTCACAGCAATACAAACCTCAGCTGCTTTCTGTCTGTCAATGTAGTGTGACAAATTTCTGTGGTACAAGTAATTTGATTTAATCATATCTGATACTGCAGCTTCTGACTGAACCTTTAACACAACACAAACTGCTTGCTGCTTATCTGAATTCCATGCCAAAATGATGGAATCAACAAATTCCTTCACCTGGGAAACATCAATAAAGCTAGTGCGTTACACATAAAAACTTTTATAACTGATTCTCTGTTTCAGTATTACTATGTACAAAGTGAAGAATCATGAGGCAGAAACACCCTTCTTAAAAATGACTCAGCAGGCATACATATTAAAATAACCAAATTATAATTTTACCTGTCTGTAACTTGAGCTCTCACATTAAAGGAAGAATAAATATTGAGATCGTGGTTTCAGGTTATCACAGTGGCGAGTAAGAAGATGGATGTCTTCTGGGTGTTTGCGCTTACTAAGTCTGGCAGAAGTTTACTGATGTTTCACAGTAGGAAGAACCCAGAAGACAGTCATATTCAGATTGAGGATATTGGAAGATTAGGTCCTGAGGACAATATTTTGACCTACAAGGGGGAAGCAACAAGAGGATGGAGAAATCTGCAAAATGAAAAACTTCTGGATTTGAATTGTTTCATCAAATATTATTACAGTGATCAAATGATGGACATGTATATATGAAAGTGACAGCCCTTCAACTGGTCCTTAAAGATGGAAAGAAATAAAAACTGCATACTCAGGGACTGGGACAGTATAGTGGGTGGAAAGGCACCACAGAACCAATGTGGTGGGGCATTATCATGCAGAAGCACCAAGTCTTTGGGCATCCAATGTACACAAAATTTTATGCACAAGCCTAATAAGTGAGATATACTGTCTCTAGGGCTAGTTGGCAACAGAATGGGAAATTTATTCATATCAAAGAAATTCACAGTCTTTATATCTCAAATATTTGAAGTAGCACATACATAAAGGCATCAAGATGTAATTACCAGGTGCCTTGGCTGGTAACTAGACACCAAAGTCAAGTCCTGCAATTCACTATAGTACTTGTCCACAAATTTAAATCATTCTTGAAGTTTTCACTTGTCAGTTTCTGAACTCAAAAATTTATAAAAATCTTCACGCTCTCTGATAACAGATGCAACAATTGACATTGTATACAATGATTATAACAGTGATTGTAACAACATTAAGATTCTTTATCTGGGTGAAACGTTAAAAAGAGGGAAGGTTGGTGGTCACACTTCTGGTTTTTGTACCTTATATTCCTGCTCAGGAAATACATTATAACAGTACCTCTCAAATGTGTGAATGAGAACATTTGGTAGACCTAGACATAGATATGAGGGTAATATCACAATGGATTTAGAAAATTAGGATGTACACTGGATTAAATTGATTGAACAGGACAGGGTCCAATGACAGGGTTTAGTCAACACTGAAATGAATCACTGGATTTCATATCAACCAGAAAAGTTATCTAGTTTAATACTTGGAATCATTCTTTAGATATCAATGTCTTTTAAAACAGACAAATGAATGTTCAACTGCACAGGTCCTGACCATACTACATTCCAGTAATTATTGAAATATGATTGATTGATGAGATTTAATCATGTTTCTAGAATTGCTGTATTATGAAAATCTCAAAATGTATGGTTCTTCCAAATCCTGCTGAGACTCTATAAATCAGGGCTTTTTAAGCACTGTGTTGTAGAAGACTATATTTGTGAATGAATATATGACGGCTGAATATTACGACTGCAATCCATAACATTTTATGGTAATCAGTCTTTTGCTTGTCTCAGTAATTCAATCACATAACCAAACTCATGTCCACATCTTATACTATAACCACATATGATATTAGCACTAATTCAAAAGTTTTTTTGTTTGAGGTATTAAAAATAGTGGGAAACAGGAAGAAATTTATATATCCATTTAATAACATATTCATTTGAATATGTGTCTCTAAAACACAAATTCCTCAGATTATTTGGTAACTAAACTCACCTTACAAATACCTGTGCCGTTCAACAGGACTAAGGCGCAAGAAATAAAATCCTTCTTCGTATAAATCTAACTTTTGCACAGTAATCATACACTGTCACGGGAACAACTATTAACAACAAAATAAATTAATATAACATATTCTTTCACTACAAAACAATGTCAACATTAACAAAAAGAAACTATACTTGACGTCCTTCTCTTACTAGACATGTTGCAAGTCTCTCTGGTGGTAACTTCTTGAAACTCATTTCAAAGCTTGACCAATTACAATAATTCGGCTGGAAGTATCAAAACAATACTTGGGGATTCCGATCAAATCACAATAGAAAACAAAAAAAAATTATACGAAAATAAAATAATGATTAAGTAGTGAAAACGAATGAGAAGTATTGTACTAATGCGTAAATATATTGCCACTAAATTCACTTGTGCGATTAGCGTAGTAACATGTGCTGCTGCCATCTTCTACCTACTTTCAGAATTATTTCTATAATACTTTTAGAATGTTTATACAGTTGGTAACAGATGGTAGCGGTGTACACTATGAGTGTTCGAGTTCGTATCAATTGGTGGTACTCGATATTTGAAAATCGATACGCTCGATTCTTTGACGAACGAAACGAAATAAGAGGTATTTCTGTTCTTGCCGATAAAATGGCAAATTTGCGGCAAACTCCGTTGACTTGTAGTGGACATACAAGACCAGTAGTGCATTTAGCATTTAGTGATGTAACTGAATGTGGATATTTTCTCATTTCAGCTTGCAAAGGTGAATTGTTCTAAACTGCCTTTCGTGTTATACCTTCCGTCGTTTACCTTGGCCTCATTAACAGCTGAGGAACCCACAATCTTTCTTTGATTTAAACATTGTGCTTTTATATATGCAAAGCAGTATAGTGTACATGTAAGGATGCATCCTCTGAAATGACAGTACTTTTCAAAAGTAGTCTGTTTTTCAGTATAGTGTACATGTAAGGATGCATCTTCTGAAATGACAGTACTTTTCAAAAGTGGTCTGTTTTGTCTAAGTTTATAAGAAGGAAAATTCGTAGTGATCACCTGATTCAAAATGTATGTCAACTGCGTAATTATATATTGTGTCGTTGAGATACTTCATGGATATTACTGATATTTGTGACTGTTACTCTCTTTCCTTGAATACACGTATTTATAAAAGCTTGTTAGGTGTTTGGTCTTCATAATAAACACATTATTTTTTGTTACCAGATGGAAAACCAATGTTACGACAAGGGGATACAGGAGATTGGATTGGCACCTTCGAAGGACATAAAGGAGCTGTTTGGGGAGTAGCTTTAAACCCTCAAGCTACTAAGGCAGCAACAGGAGCCGCAGATTTCAATGCAAAAGTATGAGAGTTTACAGATGCAAGAGATAGTAGCTGTACATGCTTGTATGATTAAGAATATTCGAAGAAACTTTATGTTAACACATTTCAGGATCTTTTTATCTTGTAAGGTTATTTATTGTGCTAAGAAGTTTCAAATTTGCAGGTCTGGGATGCTGTAACAGGGGAAGAAATCCACTCCTTTCAACACAACCATATTGTAAAGAGTGTTAACTTTTCATCTGATAGCACACTGTTTGCAACTGGTAGCAATGAGAAACTTGTCCGCATATTTGATCTCAATAAGCCTGAAGCAAGTGAGTAAATATAAATCTTAACTTATATTTTTGTGTCCTCAGCAATGTATGTTGTAGGTCAGTTTGACTTTGTATTGATTTTTGCAGCTCCAACAGTTTTTTCGGGTCATACATCAGGGATTCGACATGTGATATTCTTTCGTGGTGACACACATTTGGTAACTTGTGCAGATGATCGAACTTTAAGGGTATGGGATCGCACTTCTGGCCAGGTTTGTACTTGTTATTCTGAGATGGAGATGTGAGGTTGAATCTTGGTGAAGCATTGTGCTCTGAGACCTTTTTTTAAAAAAAAGTTTTTCCAGTTATATTTCTGTAAAAAAAAAAGGTTGCTGAAGTCATATATATTAGAATATGCCATATAGCTTGTATATATATTAGGTCCATAGATGCTGGAAATCCTGTATGTGTCCAATGTTTGTGTAACACTGATTAGGTTTTTCTTATAAACGTAGATGAAACTAAGAATAATGCTTAGATGTGTAACTTTAAGGCCAAATTCTTATCAAACTGAATGTTGATAACAAATGTTTCCAAAAAGTTCCAAACCTGGAAGGTTAAACAGAGGTCTCACTTTGTGATTTTGTATGCAGGAAGTGCAAAAGTTGGACTTCAGTGCCATTCCAAGCAGCCTGGAAGTGGCTCGTGATGGCTCAACACTCACAGTAACACATGGCAATGTAGTCAGCTTTTGGGATGCTCAAAGGTAAGAGTCTTATCAGCCCTAAGCACTGCAGAGATGTGAGTGTAATGCAGTATTTATAAACACACTTTGGTTTCAGCTTGAAGAAAATCAGAGAATTCACAGTGCCAACCCAAGTGAACTCAGCTTCTCTTCATCCAGATAAAACCATTTTTGTGTGTGGAGGTGAAGATTTGAAAATGTACAAGTTTGACTACACCACAGGAACAGAGATAGGTAAAGTGCCTGTTCAAGTTGACCTTCCAAATGTAAATGTGGTTCATGAAACAATGTGAGTAATGCAGTGCCATTGTACAAACTGTAACTGTTTGTATAGCCCCCATGGAGACAGATTATCATGTCACAGGGTGCTTTTTTTTGTCACCTGTTCAAATTTCCATCTTTGATGGGGAGAATATATCTTTTCCACGAACTGTGGTTGTTAGAAATTGTCTTATATTCTGGTAAATACTACTCATTATTTTTGATTCATGAGGCTGTGTACCTTGTTGTCTTACAGAATCGTTCAAGGGCCACTTTGGACCTGTGCACTGCGTTCGCTTCTCACCTGATGGTGAATTATATGCTTCAGGCTCTGAAGATGGAACTCTACGTCTGTGGCAGACGACTGTTGGTAAGACATATGGTCTGTGGAAGTGTATAGAGAGTAACCCTATATCGACAGAGTCAGTCCTCCCACCCAAGGAAGTGCCTGCAAGCTAAAGATGCACTCTGTTACCACAGTGGAAAATTTTTTTGAGGTGTTCTGAAAAAAAGAAGATTTATAAAGTGAAGCTTTCGTGGCAACTGAAGTTGATGAAAGACTCTTGGGCTACAAGCCACGTCAGGTGGCTGAATGATGAATAAACCATATTCTTTGCCAACGTTTTGAGAGCCATCTCTGGTCTCATCCTCAGGGCATCTGTGTAACAAAACATTGGCAAGCACGCTACAGAGGACCCGAAAGGGGTCAGACGTTCAAGCTGACCATAGATGATGAAAAAAGCCACCCGATGTGGCTTGTAGCCCGAGAGTCTTTCATCATTTATATGATTATTTATTATTTTATAAGTGGAGAAGTTAAGCCTTTATAGGTCTTACCTGTACAATATTAACTTGATGGAAAGTGTTCATGTTCTTTGACTTCTGTGTTACCGAAACAATGCTGAAGGCCTGTTTAACAGCATTAATAAAATTCTGATTCTTTACAAATAAAAATATGTATATAATCAGTTGAGAATTCTGTCAGAAATAAAGGCTGTGCTTGTCATAGATTTTATTAATCTTTATTGGTCAAATTTATTTCTGTTTTGTTACAATAGTATAGTCTAAATTACTTTTTTGTGTGCATGAATCAGTATAATATTAATTTTTGTTGGGTGGTTGCTTGTGAACAAACTTAAGTATTGAAGCTGTCTTAACATTATATCAAGAACAAAATGTTGAGTCAAGTTCACATTGATATTGGGCCAGTAAAGATTAATGTAGAGACAGGATGCAACAAGTATTGATGGTGGTACTTCATACCACAAAATCGCTGCAGTTGCTCATGACATTTTCGTTGAATTGGAATGGGAACTCAGAAACTTATTTAATGGGCTCATAACATTATATATTTGTTAAATTGGTATGATGGCTGTATCTAGAAAGTCTGTTCTATACAAAAAGAGTTTCTGTATTTTAAACTCTGACCAGATTATAATTAAACCTGTAAAATGTGAAGAAAGTTTTTATACACTGGATTGAATAAGCTCATACCACCTTCATTTATGCAGTCGAACCTTGAAGGTGCAAGTGTTATTTTTTATTTATCTGCAAAATGAGGAGTAATGTCTGTGATGGGGGTTTAAAATATTAGTGTAGTCATGGTGTAGCGTAGATTACTTGCAGAGGGTGGAATAAAATAAATATTTATAAAACTCTTGTGTTTTTCAATTTTATAAGAGATGAATACATTATGGTGTTTGTTACATGCTTGTTGTTTGTATTCATTTTGAATCCCCATCAAAATGCCCATGACATCTTGTATTCCTTTTTATAGTTTACTAGTACAGTAAAACAGGATAATTTACAACCTAAACACCTTAATGTTTTCTTATTTTTTTATCAGTCATGATATGTGGCAAATAGCTTCATGTGAAAGTAATTAACAGAATAAATTTTTCATAAACTGATTTAATTTTTTTTTTGTGCTTATTGCCACATAAGAATTTTATGGTCTGCTTTGTATGATGCCGTGAAGTCATACCGGGATCTTGAAGGAAGGTAAGGTTTCACTCATTTTCAAACTGTACTAGATGGAAGTGAGTGATGTGCTTCCTGCTGTAACCATGGAAGGACCATTATCTACTCATAGACTGAGTGTGGGAGACCAGGTGGGCCTCGGAGCCAGTCTTAATGCAATAGCAAAGAGAAAAAAATATCTGGGAAGCAGACCCTACTATAGGCAATAATTTTCCTGATGGAGCTCTCCTCGCACAACTGGAAGAGAGTCTCTGAAAAACTATAGATTAGAAACTGTAAAACAATCGACAGTTCCAGCTCTTGGGTGGCTGTAGAACGTGATACCGGCTGCTTTTGACTGCTTACTAAAAAAACACTCCATCTCACACTTGACAACATGCTGTGCCATTAATAAATTACCAAACTACAGCTCTAAGTAAATACAAAACATTGAGTTTAAATATTTTATTTTATAAAACATTTTTCCCTAATGAGAATATTTTACAACACAATAAATATTTTGTTTTTGTATAACAGTCTGATAGTAAATGTTGATGTCTCTGAGCGCTGATACAGTATATAGAGCAAATTTACATACAGCATACAAAATGATACATCACACAAAGCATCTATATTAAAATCTTGCAACATGGATGATAATTCATTGCGATAAAAGTTACAGTTCCTAACTTAACACTAGGTTTCAGTATAATTTGTGTGGGTAACTTATAATATCACTGCACTAATCTCTGATGGATTCTCACACATTAAGGGTCACATGTTCAGAGCTGCATTATGAGGCAGGAGTTTACCCATATCTTCCTCTCAATATGAAATTGCACATGGAAATCCAACATTGCTACCATTATTTTTATTCCTAAGTTTCTATGCAAGTTTTGAAATGTAATTATTATATTCTAATTTACAAGCAGTATATGATGTTATAAGTATGATTTTAGGTTCTTATGGTGGTGAGATAAATATGGCTGTCTTCTGGGTTGTAACACCATGTAGTCTGGTTTCAGAGGACATTGCTGCTTCCAACATCATTGCCCTGATATGGAGGCAGGAAGGTCCTCTGAAATGTACTACCAGACTACATATCTCTATAACCCAGAAGACAACCATCTTCATGATGTTATAAAGTAGAAAGTACATAATTTTAATATTGCTTCTCACAGAATTTGGTTCTCAGTAGTGGGATTAGTATGGAAATACTGTAATGAAACAATTCTGAAGGGTAGACTACCATAACCTATTAATCTGATGGATCAGGTAGAATTCCAATGCTTCATAACACAGAACTGAATCATGCTTGTTAGTCCTGTGAAGGCCCTTCTCATATCTTTGTTCCCCATTCAGGAGACATCTATGGCACAGTGAAGTACTGGTAGCTGTATCTTACGGTAGGAAGCTACCACCAAACTACATTTTGCTGTTAATCCACATACGTAGATATATTGTCATTGAGTTTGCTCAGTGAAACTTTAAGGAACAAATGTGGATCCATTCTTTCATCTCATAACTCAGTACATATTCACCAAATATTTACAGAAGTGCTGCATCACTTTAACTGAAAAATATAAAGCAATAAAATTTCTTCTCAACATCCATTACCATTTGCACAAAATGCAGCATAAAAGGTCTGAATATACAAAGAAAGACACATCGGTGTCAGTTGTGTGAGCATGAAGCTGATATCCACTCCATTCTCATGAGGTTGATTGCCCAAGATGACTTCACTGAATAGACAATATGAATTTAATTCCAGATTTCTCTGTGTTGAATGCCTCTTCTGTGAATGTTTTGTGATATTGTGCCTGCTAGTTTGCGTTGTGACTGAGTCATGACTTCATTAAGAGGAGGGAAACTCAATGACATTTGTATGGAATGGGAAATATAACTGCAAAACAAATTGCATTAGCAACAACCTTACATTAACTCAATCGTAGTTGACTGATTCAGCAGTGTTACTATGCTGACACTTGTAGGTATGTTTTCAGTCCTGTGTTGGGGCTTTTCCCTTATAGGAATGGTAACAAGATGTAACTGTCCCTGATTTATAGTTACACATATGAGTTATTCAGCCAAGGAAGCGTGAGAGATCAGACACTTGTCTGAATCCTCCTCCAAATGCATTTGGTTGTTGTGTTCTCTGGGACCTGCGAGGTGGGAGTTGTAGCACTGGCAGTGGTGGCACTAGTGCAGTGTTTGGCGAATTGCGGGCCCGAGAGTCCAGTGGGATGGATGGAGGCAAAGTTGTGGTGAACACGATGTCTAGACTGTCTTGACCTGATGATATTGGTGAATCATCCTGTAGCAAGAACCCACACTGTGCTGTGCATACATCATCCCGTTGGATGGCGTCACGGCTTGCTTCACGCAGGAGCTGACCACAGTCTGTGATGCGCAGTGATGCACACTGTGCCTGCAATCAATCCATATACTCATCTCTAGCTGTGTGACTGAATGCAGTTTAATTGCACACCTGTCTTCAGGTTATTGTCATTCTATGAACTAGAACCTTCTTGATTACCTCCAGAGAATGAAGACTCAGAATTTAAGTAACATAATAAAGCCACCTACCCCGTCAACAGTGCAGATGCAGCTCGTGCAAGGCGTAGGGAATCCTGAGTCTCCGACAGCTACAGAACGGCCTCCAATCTGACAGCCTTGTGGAGTCTCTTTCCACACAGTAAGGTCAATATGAGGTAGTGAATGGCAGGGAACTCTGGGGTTCCTGAAAACAAGTTTACTGTCTGTCTACGGTAACAAACTGTAATCCTATAGATTCCCATCAGCTTCAGTGACTGACTTCTATTATTACTTAGCTTACCAGAAATTTTGTGGTCTGTTGATTGATTTCACAGTGACCTCAGACTGTGTTCCTTGGTACTGCTGCATCAGATGGGTTTAATATATCTTCCCCTGACAAAGGAATGTGTGAAAGGAAATAAAGGAAGTAAAAGAAGGTCACTTGAAAGTACTATTCCAGTATTAACCAGGAAAGGCTGAGGAATACTACAAAATCCTGTCAGGACAGCCTGTAGTTAGCTGAGAGCTGAACCAAGTTCCTCCTGAACATAAAGCAGGAGTGCTAACTGCTTGTCCATTATTTTTGTAAACATACGAATAACTAAAATACAAATGCTTCAATGTTACAAATAGAAAGTACACAACACTGCTAATATGAAAGACAGCCACTGGATCAATTGTATTTCAGTTTAGTCACAATCTTGGTGTTGAAATGAAGATGACTGTCTTTTGGGTTGTAGAGCTGTGTAGTCTGGTAGAAGTTAACAGTGTACTAAGAGTCTAGAAACCTTATTCTTTCTCATGATGCAGGAAGCTTACTTATAGTTCTTATGGTACACTGCAACATTAGTACTTACAAGAAATTGCTAGGCTGATCAAATGCAGAACGCTGCATGTCAGACTGAATGTCCATATTCTCACATAAGATCTTGGACAGCGTCATCTTGCGGATCTCTCCCAGTTGCGCCTCTGTGAACCTGATGATCTGGTCCTCATTTTCATACCTGCGTCCACATAAGGCACAGAACAGGACAGAATAAGACAATGAAAAGGACTTGCACCATGACCAGTTATAATTTATTGACATTCTTCATTAGATTAACCCACACATTATATTACATTCTAAATCAAATGTAGTCATTTGATGTATGGATCTTGGTAGTCACTTGAGCATATCAAAGGCTCCTAAATTACAACATCCGAGTCCAGCAAGGGCCATGCATTTACTTGTGTGTGATGCTGTTTCCTTTACAAATTGGATATCTACTAGTTTCAATGCAATACCTCTTTATGTGATAATGTCCTGTCAATAGATCAATCAGAATTCTTAGCTGGTTCCTCTAATCAATAATAATAATAACATGCTAATTCTGTCCTGTGGAGATCCCTGAATGAAACACTACACATGTTTTTGTGTGGTGGCACACATGGTCTCTTGCACTCCTTACAAAATGTTTGGTCACTTCATTTGACATATGGAACGGCAGTTCAGCCTTATATATGAACTCTGCGATTCTGTTCTTGCAGAAGAATTAGTAATATCATTGCACCATAATCCCCTATTTCCTAGTAACCATGAACTCTATTATGTTCTATCAGTTGCAGAACACACATTGTTATCAACATGATCATGTACTGCACCTAGTATCACGGTATATGGCTAAGATGAAACTTTTATTATCTATGATTGTTCATGTTATTTAATGATGCTCTGCCTATAACTTGAACTGGTACCTTCAGAATATAACTCAAACCTACTTTAGATGGTTGTAAATTTTCTTATATTTTCTGACTGTATGATTAAAAATATATACAAAACTTAAAAATGGTCGAATACCGACTTCCAGCAAATATAGACGGCTACTGACTTCATACCCCCACAAAACAACAACATGTATATAAAAGCAGAGAAGCCCTGTATACTACTGCCAAATAAAATAGTAAGAACAAATTTAACTACATCAGAATATTACAAGAGATTTATGAATGTGTGTGTTAGGCTAAGCCATGCTAAACCTTCTTGATTGTCTTAAACAAATAAAAGCACTTTCTTGGAAACTGTATGAACAACATACCAGAATCGATCACACTTCCTAAGCTGTCTGAACTGGATGCCAATAATACAAGCAAATGTTGGTCCCACTAGACCGCCTTGAAGTGGGCGTTCACTCATGCCACCAGGGAACAAGTCAATGTCATCCACTGTTGCGTAGATTTGCTTGAGACGCACTATCACTTCAGGAGGAATCTCACGGGAGAGGTCCTCAAAACCACTTGCTCGTTTCAGGTTGCACAGTGCACGGTAGTCATTGTATGGACGAATTGCATGGTCACGACCTCCACACAGAAATAAAGTGTCATAATGCTGTCTCATCACTGGATGCTACAAATCCCATCTACCTCACCAAATTTGATATGATCTTCCTAATATTATTTGGTAAATAGCACAAATTATGGAACTGCTCATTAATTACTGAGGCTGTTTCAATTACATGAACATCAAATCAGACTGAAAGATAATCAATAAACATGAGTAGCTAAGGATTTAGAATGAAGCATTTATGATTTGTATTTCCAAATATTTGGCTGAAGAGACTGAGGAAAAGCAGAGAAATCTTCAGTTAGGGTCACTGGCAACCCAGCCAAGACCTATGAGGAGCCTGTACTGTGTCCTTGCTATACCAGCAGTTCTCAGAGTGTGGTATAAATGCTAGCCTTACCTCTTTGAATGTTCAGTGCTATGAGGTCAACCCCTGAATGTGGAATGTGGCGATCCTCAAACAAATGGTTTGTGATCTCACCAGTCACAAACTGGTCCATGTTCTCCATGGGTGTGGACACCAGACCTCGTATTATCTCATCTATCATATGGACCTGGAATCACACTTCCTGTGAGTAGCAGTGTCTGTCACCAGTTAGTTACACACACTCCAAAGCCTACACCCCCCTGCTTTCTATATGTATTGTATCCATTTATCTGTCAGATTATCTACATGTTTTGCATAAGAAGACACTTTATTAATTATAATGAAATACAGCGTAGAATGGGTTAACACTGAAATTTGTTGCATGTATTTAATTTCGGTCCTTTCCAATTCAGTAAAAGCTCTCTGTTTTATACAGTTCAAACAAAACCTTGTAACCAGGATGGAATGAGCTCAAAATCAAAGCCAAGGACTGGGAAAGTGGGTTGCTCTTTGCAGTTTTTCTGTAACGTTAGATAGAAGATGAGTGGCTACATAAATACCTGATAAATGATGTCAGGGTTGAAGAAGCCATCTCGAAGGAGGATTGGGGGATCAACCACCTTATATGTTGGACTTAGGCGTGGGATGTGTGGACGTAGCAAACTGTGTCCAATTCTGAATGCTGCTGCTGCAAATTCATTAACAATGTTGGGGTTGCATGTTGGGTTGTATCCTGTAACATTGATGTTATGCAGGTGAAAAAATATGTCTATGTCGTTATGAAGATGGCTGTCTCTTGAATTGCTGCACCGTGTTGTGTGGTGTAAGTTTATTGATGTTTCAGAGGTCCTTACTGCCTCCATCATCACCACCATGATGATGGAGGCAGCAAGAAAACCTCAAATCCTACTTAATTTGTCATTATGTTTTAATGTCAGATATATTTCTGTTATTCACACAAGAACACAAGATATTAATATTAAGGTGTAAGAACAATTCACAGGCACTCACCTTTGTAATATCCTTGAGGTCTGAGTTTCAGTTCATACAAGTTGATGGCATTCCAACCCAAGATGCGAGGTAGAAACTCATTGTAGGTAATGTGTTGCGCCACAGCTGTTAAAATGCGACGACCGTGTTGGTAGAGGCGCTCATCGTCCCAGTGAGGATTCACCACATGCAGTCCATCTACAAGGTGGTTGTGCTCGCGCATGAAGAGTGTGTGGATAGCAGTGAGGGCAGGCTGTTCACTGGCACGGCCATCGCCTGTGTCATAGATGGGAAATTATTAGGGCAAGTTTTCTTCCTAAGGTAGGTAGTGAAAGTTGTAGCTAAGACAGTCAAGAAGACCTGTATCTTATAAAGGTAATTTAATATAGACTCAATAGTGTCTGATGGCTTCACATTTTTATAGCATTCTTTATGTCACTCCATTATCTGTAATACTGTATTCTAGGCTGGATTTCTCACATACCTGCTATGAAACAGTATCCTGATGGAGCTTTACATTCTGGGTGGACCGGAGACTGTGGCAGTAAGTCTTTCCCTTTGACAGGGTGTCGTGTCACATTGAGGCGACCTCCGTAGCTTCTCAAGTTTCGGGCCATACAGGAATGCTCCCCATATATTTGAGATGTGTCAAGGAAAGCAGAATTCTGGTTGATCTGCTCACGTGCACCTATGCACCAGTAAGCAAACCATCTCTTATTCAATCAGCTGTCCTAAAGACATTATAAGAACTAGTTGAAATCCACAGCAAGAAACAAAGCCTTTCAGAGTTCATCTTTGCAGCCATCACCATAAAGTATATCTGAATGTTTATGTTAGATAAGACTGTAAGAACATAAACATCACTATTGAAATTCAATATGATAAACTACATAATGTGTTAAATCTGAATGCTTTGGTAATAATGTGTTGCCATACATGATTATTATTTTTGGGATGCTGTTAATTGTCATAAGGGTTTGAGATTAGCTCTATCCAATGGGTATGGCTGATTAGGAAACTTCCACCTCTGTCTACTACCTGATGACAAACCAGTCTCCAAAATGTCAAATTTGAGAGAAACAAGAGTGTGTGACCAAAATATAATAATCATGTTTATGTAATGTATGTATGTGTGTCTATGAGAAGATGGCTTTTGAAGAGCATGAGTTGGAGGATCATAATTACCACTTCTAGATATTGATATATGCACTGTAAACTTTGACTCAGACTTCCTGTCACAGTTTAATACAAATGTGTATAGTATGCATTTGGATTCCAAGCAAAATTTGTGAACAAATCTTCTTTCAGAATCTGATGTTACATAAATTGAAATCAACCTCTGCTTACCGAGATGCTGTTGTCCTGGGAGTGATCTCATGAATGAGAAGCACACCTGCTCCCCAGTAGTGCGGTTTACTTGAGGATAGTAGTGGTCCCCACGGGGCACAGAAATTGGCATGCATTCAGGGTGAACTGTGCGAGGTGAGTCACAGGCACGACAATCAGGAATGGATGCGAAGAATCCTGCACCATGAGTTACAACATTTGCTTCTGAAATCTATAATGATTTAATGAAGTCACACATACCGAACATCTTCGTCTTTTATGGGTTAGGCCCTCTGGCCTCTTCCAGTTCAGAATTAATTCTACAATATTAATTCATTTAGACTTTTAGTACGTCTCCTTGGGCATGGTACTGAACCATCTGAGGGCCTATGTCAACATAAGAAAACTGTAATTTTTAATTAACCAATCCAAACTTTCATGAAATCCAAAGGTTCATTACTGCATTCATAAGATCCTGACAATTGAGCCTATACTCAGGCAGATGTATCCAGTCCACAACATCATATCTTGCTTCTTTGAAATTAATTTTAATGTTATTCCCATCTTTACCTAGGCCTCTCAAACAGTATTTTTATTCAGATTTTCTAATCAAAATTATGTAAGCATTTCTCTTTTGACCATCAAGGCTAATGAGGTATGCAAAATTCTATAAATAATTTTGAATACATCTATACTCCATTGGAGTGCATCTATCAACTTTTGTTTCTGAAGCTTTAGTCCCATTTCAACTTTTAACCATATACTATACCTATTTGCACAGGTGTGAAGGTGATATCATGGTCAAGGAACTGAGCAAACTGCATCAGCATGAGACTGTATCTGTTGTGCAGGTTACTAATATCAGCATGGATCATTGTAGACACAAGTCGTGGAGAAGGTAGGGGTCTTCCTGTCACGGAGTTGAGACGTGGACGATTCACATCTGAAAATACAACCTTAATGAGAGAGAGAGAGAGAGAGAGAGAGAGAGAGAGAGAGATCTTATAGCTAGAAGAAACCATTTATGTATCTATGCAGTGTCTCTCTGTTAATTAACTTTATCACCATTAGAATTTATAACTATTTGAAGCATTGCATCTGTTTTGTTGATTATTATCTGTGTGAAGAACAGATTGTTATCTCAAACAAATGAACAAGTCCAATGCTGAATGTAAGATAGCAAGAAACATGATTCAACATCTTTGTACTCCCAAATGGAATAACTTTCTATACTTATTCACATGCATGTACATTGCAGACTTTATTATGACTTGCCATCTTCATATGCTGGTGACAGGAGTCGAGCAAACGTGGAGATTGACTTCCCAAAGTTTGGGTTTCTCAAGCTGTTGCACCGACCCGTGATAGTCCGGAATTGTGACTGTGCATCACAAGGTCCACTGTCATCAGGAGAATTGCAGTCAGGTGAAGTGAGTGGGGCTGATATAAAAGAAGTGATGTCCACATTCTGTAGACCATCACTGAAGTCATCATTGAGAGAATCAACTGGGAAGTTGAGGATGTTGTCTCGGCCTGAATCAAACGCTTGTCTTCTCCGTCTCTGTGCTCTAATACTGGAACAGCACACACATACATTGCAGTCACAGTACAATCCTCTTGCCTGATGCTCTTTGTTTCCCTACCTTTGGTCTGGCATGTGACCATAATTGGCTTTATAGGGGAAAAGAAATCCAAGGCCACTGCCTTCTGTTGCTTTACAATGGTTCAACCTTTATGATCTGTATGTCAGGATTTATGCACATAACATGGTGTTTTAAATGCCTTATTCCTACATGAGAGGATTAATGCATATTCATAAGCAACCTGTGTCCATGGAGATAATTAATATAACATTTACCTGTATGGTGAACTTCTGTAAAATGACTAGCTATGGACTGTGTGATTACAACTTTACTCCTAACAGGGACAGGAATTTCAGTTCAACACAATGTACAGGCGTACTCTATAGCCTAACCACTCTTGCCGTGGGTAGAATTGCCACACAAAGAAATTAACCAATTACCTCCATCTAGTGCTGAACACACTCCTTCAGTGATGCGGCACCCATAACAACTTCACAGTTTGCCTTTCACTGAGCATGCAGCTTGTTACTTCTCTCCTCAAGGAACTCAATAATGGGAAACCAATGTTTTCTTTGATGAGTAAATTCATGGAACAGAGTCTTTCTAGAGTACCTGACAGTCACTCAGCCAGTCAAGAATTATTATTTACATGTTAACTAAAGTTTTCAAAGTTTTTAACAAGGAGTACAGAACTTCAAGATACTGCATAAGTTTACAGGCCACTACATTGGCATCGAAAGTAACAGAAAGTCAAACTCTATCAACATAGGGTATCATTTTCACACAAAGATTGATGAAAGCAGTCAGTATGTATAATGTTGATGTCTCAAACTGAAAAAGGTTACAGATGTACAGATGAAGCTTACTGATATTGCTTTGAAGAAGGAATAGGGTTGCTTTGGAGAGTCCAGCAAACACCAGGCAGTAGCTTACTTATTAAGAGAGATCATGAGCTCCTGGGAAGTGTACTCAAGCAGTATGGATGTGTTGGCCAGCATAAGTGCCTGCTTGTTCGCTTTGCTGAATGCAGCAGCAGTTCCAATGGGTGACTTTGGATCAACACCTCCATCTATAAGTGAAAGTGCGAAACAAACATTTACTGAACAAGCCCACAGTGTACTATTTTCTGAAGGTCAATTACAGCTGACTATTCATAAAATTCAGTTTTAGTTTGTAAATTATATACTACTGTGATAACCAGTAATATGGTGAAGATTACCACCAGACTGCTCTTCTTATACGGTAATCCTATGTTTTGATTGGGAATGTCTAGAGGAGGAAGTGATTACAGTCTCATTTATGGTAAAATCTTGGCATTTTCTTGGAAGGACATGTCAAATCAGAAGTACAGTTGTCCAAGATTCAAACTGAGTAAATTCAAAACAAAAACCTAAGACTATACTACTGAGCTAACCTGATTACTATTACCAGCATTACACAAGCAACAATTATAAATAAAATTAGTTACTTTTGGCCCAAAGATCATATTCTCGCTGTCTGCGTAGTTTCACATCAGTTTCAGCCTTCTCCACTGCCTGACTTAACATTTCATTTGATATTTTCATTGTTACATCCTTCTCAAGCCATGGAGACAAGCCAAGGGTTGGTTGCAATGAACAGGCAATCCGCACATTGCTGTGTACAAAGTAGAGCGAGAATGTTAAATCCACATGAAAATTACAAATTAATATACAGTGTGGACCAAACACTATATTCAGTTAAGTACTGAACCGAAGAAACTGTTTCCCTGTTTCTGTTTTCTGACACTGTAATGTGCTTACATTTCTTGAGTAAAAAATTATAAGTTTGCTTTAATACTAATATATTCCTTTACAAGATGATCAAAGCCCTACTCGCCAAACACAACAGATTTTAAACTGCTGTCCAGTTTTCTTCCTTAAAACACATAATCTGTTCAGTATACTGCAAAAGATTGTAAACAGTCATTTTTCTGTTACCTTGGTGAAGCAAATTGTCTGTTGCCACAGAATGGCCAATGCTGCTTCTATAAACCATGTAAGTGCTACCATAATAGCAGTAGTATATTCTTGAAGACAGGCAGACAATAATAAAGTTAGGAAGTATATGCAAGGCATAATAATTGTAATGTTTTCCAGAATTTGACCATTGATCCTTACGAAAGGCAGAGGAATTCCCCAGATAGGGATCTCCTCAATATTCACAAATTTTAATGAAAGTAACCAGTTTCAAGTCTCGTGGAAATCCATTCAGATCTTCTCCATCATTACATACAGACTTTCAGATGGACAGACATAGAGATTTTTAACATACACCCTGCAGGGCTGTGAATTCACCTAAAAATATGTGTTAGTCTGTATATAACATAAACCCAGTTTATGTATGTTCTGAATTTCTAATCCAGTTTTCATTGTTTCAGAACTCTACAATGACAGCCAACATTTTCACTAAATAAACAAAAATATGTTGCAATCTTGAGCATTTGTTTCACTTGTTATGGTTGTGCATCTTACAGATAGGGGTCCTCCTGCACAAACACTTGGGACTGCACTTCGTCCAGGCCAGGCACGTTACTGCACAGCAGTCCAGCCAATGTCACCTTGCGCAGCTCTGCCAATTGTTCTATAACAAGCAAACATTGTGTGTACCAGGAGCCTTGAATGAGGTTCGGTAAGGTTCAAATTAGAATTCAGTGCCTGTCATTTGCCTCAGTCAGGAATATCACAGTTGAAGATATGAAGCTCAGAATTTGGAAATTATTTTGTGGTTTCATTGAGAATGAAAAGTTTATACTGTATATGTGTGTAAATGTTTGGCCTGCAATGAATAAAACTCTACCACTGTTAAAAATTCCTTTTGATTGTGGAATTTCAGAAAATGTTACAGTTTCATTATATAAAATGTATTGCTCACTTATTTTGACATGTGGAACAGAAATCAGAATGCAGAGCGATATAAGAAGATTGAATATAGTAGATGTGATGCTATGGAGCATTAATAAATGAACAGAATCCAAAACAATGACATTACAAAAGGTCTGAGAGTAAAAATACTACAATAAAATTTGGTCAAATTGAGGATAAAGTGTTTTGGATTTATGTCATGCACAAAAGTAAGTAGAATTCCAGAATTTCAGTAGAATTTCAAACATAAAGATGGCAAAATTTTACAATCACACAGCCTAGGTGAAGAAAGGCATGTGAAAGATAATAGAGAAAGTGTGTAATACAGACCAGAGGGGTCCATATGAAAGGGCAGAGAAGCATGGCAGGAGCTTTATCACATGGATGACAATGACACTAGAAACAAATGATAACACAATGTGAGATAATGGTTACCTCGTGAAAATGATGATGGAGGTATATCATTTTCATACCAGAACCTATCACTGTTGCGAACACTGATGAACTGGTGTACCAAGAGGCAGGTGAATGTCGGTCCAAGTACCACACCAAACGTGGGGGTCTCCAAAATGCCTCCCACAATGAGATCAACATCCTCTGTATTGCTGAAACAACATGAGCACTGTTTCAGTGTGTAACATTATTGTACATTGGATGTCACTAGAAAACTAAGAAAACTTATACATACTTCATGTTTAGCAATCTATAAGTCTGTAGTTTTAATTATACAACACTGAAAACTGAATGTCACAGCTGGGTGGTGTCAGGATGAAAACTTGACCTGGAGATTAGTTATCCTCAATGAGGCTTCTTGTGTTTTCCATAGTTCCTCCAGGCAAATGTCAGCATACTGTCTTAAAATAGACCATTATCACTGCTTGCCATATCCTTTCCAATCCATTAATCATCTTAACATTCAATATTATGTAATCTGAGTTACAGACAGTGTCATTAAATCAATCACAAACTATATAATAGTAATACTGGAAAATGAAATCTCATATGAAATATTAATGACTATAAAACCACATAGGGGCACATTTCTAGTACAAAATGTTGTAAAACTGAGAGAAGTACTACAGGATAAAGAATTCAGTAGTGTCCACAGGTAGTGGATATTGCCGGAATAGAGTTAGCACATACCTTAATTTGTTCCACTTGCCATTTATTATTCTGAATTCTTGAATTAATCACCTCCTACTATAAAGTTTGACCACACTATTATGTATACATACGTGTAAATTCTGTGCAGTAATTTTTTCATACTGGAAGAGAGTGGTTGTGAGAGGCTATGGTTACATTTTTGCAGCCAGTGCTGGTAACTTGGTAGCCCATGGTCACGTCCAATGTGCACAAGAAGTGCTCCTCTTTCTGTTCCTGTAACATGAAATGTTTGTCTCATAAAGCTTAAACACTAGTAAACTCTGCAACATATATAACTAAGAATATATCCAAGTTATGTTTACCACTATAGCAGTTTGCATGTGTGTCTTGAGAAATTCTGTATTCTTGACTGTGTGAGTAAAAATTATTTATAAGTGAATGACATCTAGCAGAAGCTTCTGATCTGATAGCTGTCCATATATGCCGACAGTAATGGCAGAATAATAAATTCAACAACATTTAAACATATCAATCTAGTGCAGGGCAGGACCATAGCCATTCTGCGTTGATACAACATTTAAGCAGTAAACGGGTTAGTGAAATATCTGTAATGTAAAGGAACAAGAAGTGTGCAAGTCCATACCATCTTTCAGAGCAGGAGCTATGTGTAGACTGGGCTGCTGTGCTGGGGTTCTCAGTGTTAACTGTACCATGTGCAGGTATTCAGCCATGTGCGTGTTGTTGTCCTGCAAATAACCAGAGAAACATGACTGATGTAAGTATTCACTGACTAAATAGTAATTTGCGAATTGCCATTTTGCCAAAAAAAATCCCTGTTTTTATGGAACATGAAAAGCTTGCCATTGGATTCTATCATGAGCCAGTACAATTCAGTCCACACTTTTACAATATATTTTTCTAAGATTCTCCCACCTACAGCTGGGTCTCCCAAATGATATCTTCCCTTCGAATTTTCTGAAATAACCTATACTCATTTTTCATTTCACATATACCCTATCCATCCTCTTTGATTTGAGCAGTCTAACATTATGTGAAGAGTACAAATTCTGAACATTATCATCATATAACTTTCTCCATCTATCTTATGTCTACATATTCAACTCAGAACTTTAGGTTAGGTTCAAAGTGGTTAGGACATGCTGCACTTATTTTGTTCAGAAGGAAAAGTTCTCCATATTTGATAGTGTGTACAGCATTCTGTTAAGGTATGTTAAGAATTTTTTTTAGTAATCATCTACTTGCTCATTCATTTAATAAATTATAGTTTCTTTGATATACCTGCATTTCTCATTATGTCTAATCTCATACATCCCTTGCCACATCTTAAAAATTTAATTTCTGCTGTCTGAGTTTCAGTAATATTTTTGTACTTCTTAACCCAATTTCTTACTTCTCTAGTATTCTCACTCATAAGAAGATGATCACTTCACATCACTAAAAATTTAAGATAATGGAAAAAAAATTAACTTAATTCGTGAAGGCCACCGCCATGATTGCATCTTCAATGTAGTTTTCAATGTAAGTAATTTTTTAACATATTCTGTTTAGAAATGTTTGTTTTATGAAACTAGGAAGATGTACCACTGTACATCCAAAATTCACATGTTATTTCATACTGTATATGCAACTCTGTACTTACTAGCTCAGGTGGAATCATGGAGAGGAACACTTGCAGTGCAGACATAGCAACACCATTAAATGTCCCTGCTTGGTTTGAACTGGAGTATCCCATGTAATAGCCCTGGTCCTTCAGTTTCAGTTCTGGCATCTCGGTGGTAACCTGTTGACATATATCAAGTGTCATATCTCATATCCCCTAGAATACAAAATATTTCACATGAAATTTACCTCTAAAACTGATAACATAAGATTATGACAAGAGACAAGACACTTGGCAGCATGAAGTACATAAACTGAAAGCATAACGAGAGGCCATTGTCTGTTCATCTGTCCTTATGCTTCATCTCTAATAATACTGAATGGATTCTTGTCCCCCTCCCCTCCCCACCGCAACAGAAAAAAAGAAAAGACTGTGTTTTCTTCAAAGATCCTTTATAAAAGATATCAAGGTTCAACAGTGACTGGCACCAGTGATGTTGCCATCTGATCTCTTTGTGTGGGAACTAAACTTCTCAGACTGTGGACACATATTTCTATGGATCAGGATATTAATTGCTTGTATCTCATTACACACATGCTACAAGAGGAAGAAAAATGAAAAGGAAAAGACAAATATATTTACTACATCATCTTCATATTTCTACTGTCTAGAAATTATATTCAAGACTGAATCTGAAAGGGCTGTGCGATTACAAGTGTTTGGATGTGGAATATGCTAGTTTACCAAGTGAGCTCCTTGTTATACAAAATTCAAAGTCCCTACCCCTTCATTTATTTTAGGTGTAAATATTCCCTGAGTGCTGTTCCCAGACACTAATATATTATTTTCTTCTTCCCATAATTCATCTTTTAAAACACAATAACAGAAGACAGCTGTGACTTACCTCTCCAAGCAATGTTGGCAGGAACTCTTTGTATGTTATATGTTGTATCTGTGCTATGATAATGCGTCGTGCTTCTTGGAACAGAGTCTCATCATCCCAGTGCTCGTTCAGTAATGCCAGTTCTATGGCCACTCGATTGTGTTCCCTCAGCAATGTAGCATAAAGTGTTCCAACACCGGACGCCTCATGACACCTGTGTATGTTCACAAAATGTGCAAGAACTAAATAATATACTCTCAATTATCTGGGCAAGAGGAAGTATAAATAAAAATTACTGCAGTTTTACAATGCACATCATCACTTACTGCTGGAGTAAGATGGGTTCAAGTGAATGTGTCTGTTATGTATAAATAAATATTTTGTAAGGAAATATACCCTATGTTACAGTTCTTACCTTGAGCAGACATCTAGGGTAACACGTCCCCCATTCAGAGTGCGTAGTGACTTTACAGCATCTTCAGTACTCCCATAGATATCAGATGCATCAAGGAATGCTGTTGCCAGGTTCATTTGTTCCCTGTGTTCTGGAAAATTGAACATTGGTGTCTTACTAGTGTGTTGATGGTTTGAATACTGTGAACATGATAATGCATCTTGTTGCCCCATAAGGTGAGGAATTTTATCATCAGATGAGTGACTGGCAGCGTCTGGAAAAGAACTCTGCTCCACAGAATTTCCTAATGAAGTCTGGGGTTACTAAATACTCAACAAGATTCAGCAAGATAAATGAGTGTCTGACTGACTAATTAATCTGGTGTAATAAATTAATGGTTTTAACACAATGAGATCCTCAAAAAAATCATAAACACATTTGAGACTAACAGCATCACAAGCTAGAAGACCAAAACTGACATTTCCACTGCCATGAGAAGAAAATACCTCTATTAAAACCAGTTTTAGTGATGTAA